CGGTTGCTCCATCTTATGTATGAAGCAGATTTGATCTTTGTCTTAAGTTCTTTTACTTTATAGTTGTGGTTGTACTTTAAAAAAATACTAGATTATTTCACACCCTTAAGAAAAGGTTTAAAATGTGACCTACATACAGAACATTGCAAATGGTTAAAAACAAAGTAATGTGTGAAAATGTTACAACCTAAAAGAATTCTTCATGTCACAAGTGTTTTACTTTGATGATGTGCCTTTGATTTAATTGGGGACACTTTTAGAAAGATATTATATTTGTGTTTGTAATAATCTTTGAAGAGCTTGGAAATAAAATTTCTGCTTAATTCATCATTTTCTATGAAGGCAACATTTTGTGTCTGATTTTGTTTTAAGGCTTCATGGATTTCTGTTTGCTTGTGAGATTGAGTGCTGGAAGTGGAAGTAAAATTTTTGTTTTTAAGTCCTTGTAGAATTTTCTAAATGTGCTGAGAAATAGGTATATGTATAACATGAAGAACTATTACTGGCAACATTTGTTCTTTGAAATAGCTATGTACAAACCCATAGATAAATAAATAAAACTATCTTTGAGCCTAAGTAGTGTTATCAGAGAAAATAGAAGCCATTAGATGGGAACTCCCCTGACTTCTAATCACTAAACTTCCAGGTCTGAGTGATCTGAATTCCTTCTATTTGATCATAATTCAGGTATTTCTTTTCTAACCCCTCTATTTGTCCTCTGGATCTGTTTTGTCTTCTCTGAACTTTCACACTATTAATTATCCTTTCTCTCCTTTATCTTCAACTTCTGTATTAGATCCTAACAGCATTTAAACATGTTTCATTCTCCATCTTAACAATAAGCATTTTTAAAAATCTGCATTAAAAACAAAATTCTGTCTTGATTCCACATTCCCCTTCAGCAAAAACTTGATAATATAGTACAGGAAAACTATAGACGTCTCACTTATGAATATAGATGTAAATGTCCTAAATATAAGCAAGTCAAGAGAAAATACAACCTGACAAAACTAGTTAAACATAAGGAAATCTATCAATGTAATTCATTACATGAATGACATAAAGAAGGGAATCTGTGCCGAAAAGTCATTTGATAAAATTCAGTATCTGTTCTGAAAAAAACTAAGTGCATTTGTGAAATAGGAGTAGAAAGAAATTACTTAAAGATGATAAAGACAGTTTATCAAAACCAACAGCAACTCTCATACTACATGGTGAAAGGTTGAAGCATTTAGTGTATCAGGAACAAGATAAGCATACCTTTTATCACCACTGTTTATCAGCATTGCTTGGAAGTCTTAGGTAAATATGGTAAGATGAGAAAATAGATGATGTAAACATTTTAGAAGAAATAATATCTGCATTATGGATTATGTAATTGCACACCTTGGATACTCATGATAGTCTAGTAAAATAAATAATTGAATCTGTAATAGAATTTGGGAGGCTGGCTGAATACAAAATACATATAGAAAAATAAAAAGCATTTCTATACTGGCAATAGCTAGTTAGAAGTGGAGGGCTGGCTGGTTAGCTCACTTGGTTAGAACATGGTGCTGATAACACAGAGGTCCAGGGTTTGGATCACCATACTGGCCAGCCACCAAAATAAATAAATAAATAATATAAACTATCTAAATAAATAAATGGAAACTATATTCCTTTTCTACTTTAATGATTAAGCTATAAAAAATGCTTGGAATAAACTTAACAAAAGTACAATAATGAAAAAAAAGGTTTTATTAATGTTTATAGAACAGGGTCTAAATACATGGAGAGACATATCAAATCCCACGATGTTATGACAATTTTATTAAACTATCAATCTGGGAGGAGTGGTAGATAACAACAAAACTAAGTTACCTACCCTAAGTGAATCATTGTGCAGTATTTGCATGTATTGAAACAACACACTGTATCCCACAAATATGTACAAGTAAATGTTAAAATAAAATTTAAAAAATCAGTCTCACTAGAATTCATATATAAATTTAGTGGAATTCAAATTTTATTTATTTTTGTTGAAGTAAGCTAGTTAAAATATCTAAAAGTTCATATGGAAAATCAAGTGTCCAAGTATAGTTTTTAAAACTCTTGTGTGTGTGTGTATAGAACATGGGAGGGTGATACTTTCCTTACTAGATGTTAAAATTTACTTTGAAACTTCTGAGTCAAAACAGTATGATTTTTAAGAGCAAAAAGTTAAAAACAAAACTAAAATAAACAATATTATTGTGGTACAGGAATAGGCAAATAGATGATTGAGTCATAATAGTTCAGAAATAGATTTGACTTTTTTTTTCTATTCTGTGAGAAAGCATGGTTTACTTAATAAATGGTGCTGGTGTTATTGGCTATCCATTTGGAAGAAAATAAAATTGGGCTTGTATTGCCCTAAAAAAAATAATTACACATGGGTTAAAGAAAGATAAACAAAAGCATTAGAAGAAAATGAGGATAACAGTGTATAACTTTCAGGTAAGAAGGAGTTTTCCTAAGCAAGACAGGAAAACCCAGAAATCAAATAAGAAATGTGCATACTTGATTATATTAATTTAAATAATCTAATTTAAAAAGCAATTTAATCAAATAAGTAAATATTGAGTTAAAACTATTGTATGGTAAAAATCATTACAAACCAAATCAAAAAGCAAAAGACAAACATCTGCCATGCATATGAGAGACTATGGGCTAATATCCCTAATACACAGAAGATGCTGTAATTTGATAAGGAAGAAGTGAGTAAAGGACATGAATAAGCAGTTTACAGAGGAGAAAACCCAAATGAAAAAGCACATAACTCCACTAGTAAGCAGGGGAACCGTAAATAAAGTGATAATGAGAAGTCATTTTTCAATCATCGCATTAGAAAATAAAAAACAATAATAGCTCACATTTATTGAGTACTCACATGCCACGTTCTAAGTATTTATATGTATTAGGTCATTTACTCCTTCCCTGTGTGACCTTGAGCAAATTAACTAAGACCCTCTGGGTCTCAGTTTTATCACCCATAATTCTTTTAAGATTTAGATACTATCTTCCTTATATCCTTTTTACAGATGTGGAAAGTGAGGTACAGATTAAGTTGAATGTGTCCATGATCAGTTAATGGTCGATAGGACTAGTATCCAATGCCAAGCAGTCTGGCTCTAGAGCCTTTACCCTTAACCACTGTGCTATATACCATTGCTGGTGAGGATAAGGGAAACTGGATGGTTTTATACTTTACTAGTGAGAGTATGAAGTGCTACACCTTTTGGGAGAAAAATTCGGCAAAATCTCAATAAATGCCAATCAGAAGGAAACAGGATTGAGGAGTTTGAGAGCAGATTAAAGGTGTGCCCACCCCACCAAACCTAATGGCCTCAGTTTAACTGTCATTAAGTTTTGAGAGAGAGGCATGGGTCAAGGAAGAAAAAAATAAATTAGGCATGAGGATTGTGTCTAGGAAAGAACATTAGGTGCAGTTACTAGTTCATGGAACTCACTGGAAACAAATAGATCAGACCCTATCAAATTTTTGAAGTGACTTGAGAAATAATGGGCCTGTAGCTGTCTAAGGTGAACAAACCTAACTTCAGGTCCCTCAACTTGCATGTCAGACAGCAGGTTGAGGAAGCTTTATAGACCCTAAGGAAGATACGCTCTTCAAGTGGCCCTGGAGAATAACAAATAAGGGAGGTCTTCCAGAGGGCAGGGCAGGGGAGCCATGGAGGACGATGGGTAAGGGTTTTCTTCCGAAGAGCAAAGTTAGCAAAGTTAGGAGGGCCTTCATGTCTGCGCTGCTGAATTTCAGAATGCTACAGACCAATGACTGCTGTGTGGGTTGCATTCTTTCTCTTTCTGAATGGGAATGTT